AAACCTTACCAAGAATGATGCTACCCTCCAGAGAAGCACTTCCTGGCCACTACCCAGCCACCTCCTCAGGACTACATCCCCAAGGGCCTATCAGGTAGCTTTTCTGCTTAGAGCAGGTAAAGAGAAGGCCTCAAAGATGAGCCAGCATTGGATGGGCAGGCTGCAGAGGGAGCAGGCGGTGTCCTTACAGCAGAGTAAGGGTACAGGGAGCCACCATGCCCATCTGAATGGCCACTTCTGTTATTAGAGTTCCCTGGACACTTGTTAAAAATGCTTCCTTCCCAGCCCCATCCCAGACTTACTGAATCAGAAACTCTGGGATGGAGCCCAGAAAGCCTCAATTTTTAACAGCCTTTCTTGGCGATTCGGTCTGAAAACCTTTTGTCCTAGATCACTAGTTCTCACTGCTGGCTTCACATTAAAATCATCCAAGAAGCTTCTAAAAACAGCATGTGTTGGCCTGGAAATCTATATGTGTTAAGTCTTCTGCCCCCACTCCCAGGAAGATTCTAAAGAGAAGCTAGTGTGGAAAACCATTGTTCTAGAATTCAGTGTTTCTAGGACTTAAGTGTGCATTCAAATCATCTGAGAGTCTTGCTAAAATGCAAATTTTAATTCAGTTGATCTGGGATGGAGCCTGAGACTCTGCATTTCTAATAAACTCCCTGGTGATGCAGTGGCTGCTGGTCCTTGACCACGTTCTGAGTGGCAGGGTTCCCGATCATTGATTTTTTTTTTTTTTTTTCCTGGCTAGAGTGCTGTGGCATCAGCCTATCTCACAGCAACCTCAAACTCCTGGGCTCTAGCGATCTTCCTGCCTCAGCCTCCCGAGTAGCTGGGACCATAGGCTTGCGCTACCACGCCTGGCTAATTTTTTCTATATATTTTTAGTTGTCCAGCTAATTTCTTTCTATTTTTAGTAGAGACAGGGTCTCGCTCTTGCTCAGGCTGGTTTCAAACTCCTAACCTTGAGTGATCCTCCCGCCTTGGCCTCCTAGAGTGCTAGGATTACAGGCGTGAGCCACCGCGCCCGGCCTCAATCATTGATTCCTTATTTTGGCTGGTCACCTGTGGATATTGTGTTTGTTTCTTAGGGCTGTTGTAACAAAGTACCACCAACTTGCTGGCTTTAAACAGCACATATTTATTCTTTTACAGTTCTGGAGGTCAAAAGTCCAAAATCAGTTTCACTGGGCCAAAGTCAAGGCTATATTCCTTCTGAAGGATGCAGGGAGAAATCTGTTTCCTTGCCCTTTCCAGCTTCTAGGGGTCATTTATGTTCCTTGGTTGGTGGTCTCTTCTTCCATTTCCAAAGGGCATCCCTCCAATCTCTACTTCCGTTGCTGTCTCCCCTCTGACTCCTGCTCTGATAAGGAACCTGTGATTACATCGGGATACCTAAATAACCTGGGATAATCTCCTCATCCCAACACCCTTTAATCACATCTGCAAAATCCTTTTTGCCACATAAAATAATAGCACAGGCTCCAGGGATTAGGATGTGGTCATCTTTTTGGGTGGGAGGGTGAGGCATTATACAACCTACCACAGAAATTTTTTTCTTTAATTCTAAAGTTCAGGTCTCGTAGTAAAGACCCTCATGTGCCTGGTCTATGGGGTGAGGATGGCCAGGCACACGGGGCTTGAGAAACAACAGTTCCCTGGGCCAGGGCACACTGGCACTGGGCCTCCCTCCACCCTTTCCACAGATTTCTCCATTCAAAAACCCTGCATGCAAACCTGGGCCTCGCCAGAGAGGGAAGGAAGGCAAGTTTTGGTCATTCTTCCTCCTCAGGAGGCCATCTCAAGGAGGAACCCAGTTCTTGGCCTTTGTCCCGGGAGTTCACAGAGCCAGAGCAGCAGGCAGAGGGTTGAATCAGCACTGCTCCCTGAGCAGGCCAGGGATGTTAGTGAGTTTCTTTTTTATTTGGCATTTATAGTATTCCCAGCCACTTCTCAACCCTTATAATTATAACCCAGATCTCACTCAGCCTCCTTTAGCTCAGGTTTAAAAGCTAAGAGCTCTCTTGAAGCAGCCAACTATTAAAACTTCATGGCCTTTTACAAAATATCAGTTGACAGGAGGTATTATGAAACCCTGCCTCGTATAATTACAATTACACTGCAATTGTCAACACCCATGAGTCAAGCACACTCTGTGAAGTGACAGTCGGGATCTCACGTCGCTTCCCTCGCTGGCTAGCCCAGCCTGGCCTTTCCCAACCCATCTCCAAAGCCAGGGCCTTGCCATCAGCTATGAGCTGCAAGGGCCAGCCACTTAAGCAGAAACTAGCCACCCCTACCAGGGGCTTCTGCCCTAGTCTGTGCACTGCAGGAATGCTGGCTTTCCACTAGGCCTTCCTGGGGACTTCAGCAGAGGCTTTGAGCAGGGGCTGGGTGTTCCATCTTTATTTATGACTTCAGCTACAGTGATACAAACAAGCCTTGGATGTGGCTATCAGCATGACCACCTCAGTGTCTGAGATGAGTATGGTCTTGGGCGGGATCCCCAAGAATATCTATCTCTTTGCTCTTGCTTTCTTTGACCACCAAACTTCTCCAAGAAGGGCTCTACAGATGCTTTAAGCCTCTCAGTTACCACAGACTAACTTCAGCCACCATCTCTGTCCTCTGCTGCCTTGAAGATCACCAGTCCTGTTCTTGTAGCTGAATCCATGGGTCTTCTCTCAATCCCCACTCTCCTTAAGCTGTTTTTAGTTTCATACTATTGACCTTTGCTCTACTATAAAGTCAAAATTGCATTTCTACAGCCTATGTCCTCTGGCCCCTGCCTATCTCCCCAGTTCTATCTCAGATCCCCTCCTCACCAGTCTCTGTACTCCCATCACCCTGGTCACCAGCCACCCTCCAACATGCCAAACTCTCTCCTGTCTCAGCCTCTTTGTCCTGCTCTTCCCTCTGCTGGAAAGCTCACCCTCTCCTCTTCCTCAGCCAGGTCATTCTCACCTGCACATCTGAGCTGAAATGATGCCTGCTGAAAGAAGTCTTCCCTGGCCACCCCTCTAAAAGGATGTATCACCCACTCTTAATATCCTCAATCACAGCATCCAGCTTACTTCCTTCATAGCTTTTACTGTTATTTTAATTAATTACTAGTTTCTTTGCTTACTTGCTTCATCTGCCTTTCCCTCTGGATGGTAAGTTCTCTGAAGAGAAGGACCATATTTGTCTTGTTCATCAATGAATCTCCAGCGACAGGAGCTGAATACGTAGACCTAAGTGACTAACCCTGCCATGTAACTTCCCCTTCCTTGGCTCTTTTGCTCTTCTGTTCTCCCCCTGAACCTCCTTTCCTTCACTTCTGTCTCCTCCACCATTTCTTAAGAGTTTTCCTTGACCTTAGGGTTCTTCTCCTGAAGTTGTTCATGAGCTCCTGTGAACTCAACAGCCTCCTCTTCCACCCTGAGAGTGACAGCTCCACCCTACCCCCACCCCCAGCACCCAACAGTCAGCCCTCAACACCTGTCTTCCATCTTGTTGTGCCTGCTGGACATTTCTATCAGGATGGTCAGATTTTCCCTAAAGCAGCTTTTCCTCTAGACTTCCCTGTCCCTCTCCATGGTATCTCCATTCCTTTGGTTATTTAGGCTCGAAATCTCAGCACCATTTTTTACTCTGATCCTCCCCTTTCTTTCAATCAGGTAAAGAGCTACACAGTAGCCAATCACTATCATCTGCCACTGCTCTTGTTCAGACCCATAGCCCCTCTCCCCTGGACTGTACAAATAGCCACTCAACTGATTTCCTGGCTTCAGCTTCTCCCCACCATGATCCATCCTCGGTCTCTGATTAACTGTCATAAACTCAGCTTAATTGTGTTACTATAGGGCTCAGACACCTTCATCAGCTCCCTACTGACAGCAAAGTCAAGTCCAAATTCCTTACCCTGACAAACAGGCCCCAGGTCACCTTCCAGTCGTCTCCCTATCACTGCCCCATTTGTTGTCTTCATATTCTAATCCATTACTATAGCTTTATTCCTCAGTTCCCTCTGAGCTCTTCTACCTCTGATTCTTTTCTTCTGCCATTTTCTTCATCTGAAATGCCCTTCTCCATCTTTATCTGATGGAGTATTTCAAGTGCCACCTCCAAGGTTACTTTTTACATACATGTTTTTTTCCTGATTCTGTTCAGCAAGAGTGGCTGCTTCCTCATCCTGAATGCCATGCCTATCTTTTATCTCATTTTCCTTTAAATTTTAGTAATTTGTATACCTGTGTCTCTTTTAGACTCTATTCAAGTTTTATGAGGATTTTTAAAAAACTACGCCTTAACCATCGTTACTCCCACAAAACATGAGTGGGCATGTGAATTTGTGTGTGTGTGCGCGCGCACACACACACACACACACACACACACACACATACATGCAATTAAGAGTCCTTAACAAGGATTGTAAATAATAACTGTCGTCAAGGAAGTCCATGGAGAACTCCTTGATACCCATGAAAGGACACAGAAGCCAGAATAATATTGTGGCTTATTCTCCATAGAATTTGGACCTCTAAACTAAACTAAAACAGCCCATGTGATCATATTCCCAGCTACAATTTTAATGCATCCCCCAGAATGAGTTCATGGAAAGAAACCAGTCCAGATCTGGAGGAAATCAAGCTGTTGTCTGAGAGACTGGAGGCAGAGGCTAAGTGAGCACAGGCTCCATCAGTACTGATCCCAGTAAGGTTGTCACAGGCACATGTTTCTGTGGTACAACATAGAATATTTGCCAAAGGAAGCTGGGGACTTTAACCAGAGACAGAGGACTCTCTCACCCCTGAACTCTTGGGGCATTTTTTACCATTCATCTTTAGGAAACCGAATCAGTAAACATATTAAGTAACTAGTGACTAGCACACACCTGACTAGCACACACTGTCCATAGTGGACACTCAGAATTCCCTTAAAGAAAGAAAGAATGAATGAAGTCTTCCCCTCCTTCCCTGGGGAAGTGTATACTTTCAAATACTAGGAAGAAGTACCTTCTTCCTCATCCTTCTAGTGACATCTCACAGGACATATCCATCCACTACTGCCCACTTGGAAGCTTTGTCCAGGCACCTGACATCATAAGTCTCCTGCTCCACAGAAAAAGCTCACCTTGACCTAGAGTTCTGCATGAGGGTAGTGGAAAAAGAAAATGATTTAAAATCAGAGACTTTGTGTTGCATCCCTGCTCTGTGATCTTAGATCTATGCTGTCCAATATGGTAGCCCCTAGCCACATGTGGCTATTTAAATCTAAATCAATTAAAATTAGATATAATTAATTAGATACAGTTAGGTCTTCCATGGCACTAGTCACATTTTCAGTGCCCAATAGCCACATAAGGCTAATGGCTTCCATAATGGACAGTACAGACATCAAACATTTCCAACATTGCTGAGAGTTCTCTTGGACAAGCACTGGCTTAGACAAATCACTTAACCTCTTTGAAGCCTCAATTTACTCATTTGTGAAATGTGAGTCTTTTGGACTAGATGGTACCTAAGGTTCTTTCCTGTAAGCTCGGGGTAAGAATTGGAGAAAGGAGAGAAGTTCGCTTGGGCCTAGTGTTTTGCAGGCTCTGGCTCTGCTAAAGCCACACCTTACCCTCTGCCCAACACTTTTATGCCCCTCCCAGACACTTCCCTGGCCTCAAAAGATATCCTCAGCTCTTTGGGCCTGCTCTCTGCTAGGGGACAGTTGGCTAACCTTATCAACTAAGTACCATGACATTTTAGCATTGATACCTAGAGGGTCCAAAGCCATAGCTTCATGTAGGGCAAGAGCACAAGCCAGTATTTGGCAGTGTCCAGAGCTAGCCCTTGTCCTGTCACTGCCCAGAAGTAACTTTGGACAGGTCACCTGCTGTGGCATAATTTCTCCATGTGTGACATTATGTAACTCTATGGACTCCAAAGACATCCCCCAACTCCAAGAATTATATATTATAGCATTAAGTTTTCCAAACCAACATCAGGCCTCCGGGAGAGTTGTATTTTGGAGGTAGAAGGAGAAGTTTACATTATTCCTGGAGGGATGGGGAGGGTCATGCAGCAGGGGAGTATTCCCCTTCCAACGCCTTAGGCTAGGAAGAACAGAGCATGCTGTCCTTATTTCTGCTCAGACTCCTTCCTGCAGATGAGTCACCCACAGAAAGGTGTGTCCAGGCGCCTGCCTGCCTGTCTGATTAATGGAATTCCTTATATGGCATTTGTTTTTCTGACAGGTGATATGTTCTTGGAAATGAAGCTTATTTTAAGTCAGTTTCAGGTGACATTCAGAGAACGTTTACTTTGCTTTGTTTCACAAAATGTTGTCTCAAGTCTAACAGCCTTCTCACCAGGAAGTTTCCTCTTGGAATGGGCAGCTGCCACATAGGTCACTCTGATTCAGGGCCCAGGGCTAGGGTCACAGTACCCCTGCCCTCTCCCACCAATAGTCCCAGGTTCTTTGTTCTCTGAGAAGAAGACTCCCCAAGGGCAGGAGCACACACAGTGGGAGCCCTGCATGTGATCTTCCCACCCTCCTTCCATTTGCTCATGGCACATGGATTGTTGCCGTGCAGAAAGGCGTGGTGTGTCCATGCCAGCCAGTGAGGATGGCAGAGGGATGGTCATAAGCCCAGTAGGCAGACTGGGGTCCATGTGGCCCTGCAGAGTGAGGGGGGCTCTGCTCACAGACTGAACACAGGGTCTTCTGCTGGGTCCTCCCCCAGTCACCTGGAGGATAACGCCTATCTCAAGTCAAGTCTAAGACACCCCAGCCCCGAGGCAACAGAGACTATGCACGCTGCCTGCCTGATCCTGGAACTTCCCAGTGCTGTGCATAAGGGCCAGCGATGTGTTGGGGGCCACGTTTAGTGCCTTACCACATTGTCTCTGAGCCTCACGGTTGCCCCACAACGTGGGCATCATAGCTTCCCTATTTTACAGATGAGGAGAGTAAGGGCAATGACTTACCCAAGGCCACTCAAACAGTCAAGTGGCTGGGCTGGGACTAGAACCAGCTCTGGGAGGCTTTGGGGACTTATGCTCTGGTTCCCAAAAGACAGGAGCCCTCCTAAGGATGAGTATAAGGTTCAGCCGCTGAAAAGTTTGAGAAGGGGAAGTATTTATTTCTTAGTGCCACTGTAAAAAAAAATACCACAAACTTAGTGGCTTAAAGTAACATAAATTCATTCTCTTAAGAGTTTTGGAAGCCAGAAGTCTGAAATCAGTTTCACTGGGCAAAATTCAGTGCATCAGCAGGGCCAGTTCCATCTGGAGGTTCTAGGGAAAAATCTATTCTCTTGCCTTTTCTACTTCTAAAGTCCATCTGCATTCCTTAGTCACAGCTCCAGAGTCCCTTTTGCCATATAAGGTCACATATACTTAGGTTCCGGGTATTAAGGCATGGACATTTTTGGAAGGCATTTATTCAACCTACCACGGGGAATTTCTCATTAACTTTGAGAACTAGGAATAGTTGTTGAAGTCCATTTGAGTTTCCTCCTTCACCTTTGCCCAACCCCTTTCTCTTCCTCTTGGGTGGGGAGCAGGTCTGCAGAGCTTCCTGGGGTCATGAGATAGTAAGAGGAGAGGACTCCAACATAGAGGCTCTGGGCACATGCACCCAGGCCCCTCCTTGCCCCTCTGTACTCCTCTCTCTTGTAGGGGTGGCAGCAGGAGAGTGAGATGTCAGGGCCATCAAGCAGCTGGTGACTTAAAGGCTGACACATTGGCAAGGCCCCTCTTATGGAGGAAGCCCCATTCCCGCTAAACTTCTTCCCCTCACACTATTACCAGAAGAAAAAAAAAAAAAGAATATTGATTTGCTTTAACTATGTATTTTGTGTCCCATTGCAGTTGAAAAGTGTCCAGTTTCCTCCATGGTCTTCACAAGGCTCTGTAAGAAGACCCCCTACCCACATTTCCCACCTTAATCTATGCCCCTGCCCTCCTGTCCCTGTGTTCCAGCTGCAGGGGCATGGTTGACAAATGAAAATAATTTCAGCAGAACCAGCCATTGTTTTTTCTCTGGTATTGTTTGCTGATAAGACAGGTGTTCAGTGGCTTAATTAGTCCACTTATTTAGAATCTTGGTTTCTACAATGCATAGGCTTTCTTTGAAAACACAAATGATATCTAAGCAACCTAGCCCCCTATGGATTTTTTTTTTAAAAAAAAGCTAAAAACAAACACACAAATCATGAAACTAAACCAATACCTTTAAGTCACTCAAGTTGCAGCTGGAGACTATTAGAGTGGCTTCTTCCTTCAAAGACGAATATATTTTGCAAAATTCCTTTTGTATCATCATCCCACAATATGGTGTGACGGAGAGGATGGTTAATATTTTCTTCATTTACAGATGGGCAGATAATCTCAAAAAAGAGAGTGAAACAAATTTTAAGTGACAGTCCCAAGATTAGAATCTAGTCTTTCTAGACTCTTCTTCCTTCTGTGTGCTGTGTCTTGGGAAACTTGAAGATAAATGATAAGATACCTTGTAAAAGGATAAAGCAAACAGAGAGGTCTGTAAAATGATAAGCAGCACAGATTGGCTCTTGATAACTGCAAGCTAATTGGGCACAACCATGTACACACACACACATATTTCACTGTACAGTTCAGCTTGGCTGAACCAGGTGAGAACTACTTCTCGAGGATCCTAGCCTACTTAATCTACTGCTTTCAGCCCATATGTCCTCTGCACCCTTTGTCCCCTTCCCTGCAATTTACCTGTATCTCCCTCCGACTCCACACTCTGGCCCAAAGGTAAGGAGACATTAGCTAAGACCAGTGGGAGATGGGAAGGAGGAGGAGGTTGCCAGAAACTACCTCCTCTCTGTGCCCCAACCACCCTCATAACCCCTCGATGGGTAGTTGATTAACTTTGCGCAGGTAGTCCTTGGACTGGCAGGAGCTGAAAGGCAGAAACAGAGGCACTTCTTCCAGAGTTTTCAATGGGCAGGTCTTCCTAAAACATTTGCAGGGGATCCAAAATGGAAAGTTTTAAACTCAGGCCAGTAGCCAATGGTACATTTATATGCTTTTTGTTTGTGTGTCTGATTGTGTTTCCAGTGACCAGATCATAAAGGACAGCACAGGCTGTGTTCTCTGACTACTGCACTCTGACCCCCACGCCATCTTGGCCAGGCCACAAACTTTATGAGCCTTAGCTTCTTTATCTATACAAATACAAATAAAAGTAAAAAGAATACCCACCTTTTAGGGACTGTAAAGAGGATTAATTAAAGTAGTGTGTGATTCAGACTAGTTTGTCAATAAGCTAGTGTTATCATTAATGCCCACCGTCTTGAATATAGTAATGTTTGCTAAGTATTTAATCAACAATTGAATGAATGTTATATGAAGTAAAGAATCTATCATTGCATCTATGTTGCACACATGAATAAGAGCTCTTGACTCCACGTAGAGTCCGGTCATTCTATTCTCCCTTCTCAGGGGTAACTTTGATCTCCAGGGCTCATGTTCCATTGCAGGGGAACATGGATTAGCAGTAACAAATCATGAAGCATCTGGAAGGGTCTAGGAGCCCTTTTCTTGACCAGGCCATAACTATTAATAGGTCTCAAACAGCATTTTAAAAAATAGTCTATAAAAGAAACTAACAATAGTAAGCATATTATTTTAGTAAACTTTTGTTTCCTATTTATTTATTTATTTATTTATTTATTTATTTATTTATTTATTTATTTATTTATGTGTGTTTATGTGTATGCCCAAGTATACCATACTGAATTTAATGTACCATGTAGTTCCTACTTTGTGCTGTAATCCCAAAGCTTTCAGAGATGCTGTTTTTGGTATGGGCATAGCCTTTGCCCAATCTTCATGGAGCAATAATTACTGTTGATTGCCCATTGTCATGACTTTTTTTTTTTTTTGGACTGTGTATTTTAACAGGAGGAGAGAGCAACACTGGGAATGAATATGAGGACTCAGCATTTGGTGTTCTCAAGCTGCCTGCCTAGGCCACACCCATTGTTTCTTCAGGTAGCAGAGTCAATGGCACATTTTAACTAATGAGACCATCGAGTTATTGATGCCTAGGAGTTTAGGTCTGCGGGGACCTGGCAGTGGCTG